ACTGACCATGGGCCACCTTGGAGCCCCAGCAGTTGTGAACCATCTAAGAAGAGTTTAGCTGTTGTGTGTCTGTACCTGAAGCAGCAGTTTTGCTATGATCATGTGCAAGCAAGCATAATACAACTGAAATGTAATAGCTGCTTGCCCTCTTTGAAACTGCTCCATATCTATGCCTATTATAAATTTTTTTTTTTCCAACCAAGGTGCCATGGCACTGAGTACTTTCATCTTTTCTGCATACTTTGAGAACTTTTTTCCAGAGTACTATGCAGAGTTAGCACTGTTAGGTGTGCAAACATGAATTGCAAGATAAACCCAGATATTTCAAAAAGGACTTCATAATGTTAAAAACATTCTAACCTCTTGTGGTCTTTCTGGGCTCTTCGCAACAGAAAAATTGGGGTGGTGGGAGAAGTGTGCACACCCCCTCCCCAATCTTCTGTTTTCACTTCTTTTCTAAAAGTTGCCATCTTCCAGGGGTGCTTGAGTCTTAGGGATTCCTCGGGTAAAAAGACTCGTCTAGATCCTTGTTCAGTTTGGATCTGGTGCCATCTAGGTTTCATTAAAAAATCCATCCAAGACTCTTACTGCTCTTGTCAAATTAAATCATTTTGCAATTAGCAATGAATTGAGTTGGCTTAATAAATACAGCTTGAATGAGCTGAGACACAGCTGCTGCTGCTGCTCTCTCTTACTATCCAATACCCCTGGAAGATCTCCATTTGCTGAACTGATGGTAGTTGTCAGTAAAGGAAATTACTCCAGCAGGGGTAAGACCTGTGCAGAATAGACTCTAGGAAATGGGGTGTGAACCTTACATGGATGCAATCCTGAAATGTGCCCTAGGCTAACCCCTTCTTCCCTGCACATAATGGGTTAACTGTTTCTGAGCTCCAGCAATTTATCATAGAACAATGGTAACTAATGTTGCTTTGCCGGTATACTTAATTGTAACAGATCATTAATTGTTTAATGAGCAGAACTCCTGTTTAAAAACGCACTGCTAATTCTTTAGTAGCCAGACCTCTGTGTGCAGATGGCTCTGACTTATAGGTCGGGCAAAATTGCCCTCCTCTTATTTGCACCCTTCCTCCTAAAACCATAGTCCTGCAAGCAGATCCCAGTTCTTGCTAGAGTCGGCAGAGCAGGCCTGGAGTGTAATGATTATAGAAGGGTTGGCAATGTGACTGGGGTGCCTTGCACCATGGAGTCATTCCCAGGAGGAGCTGGGGCTCTCAAAGCCCACTAGATCTGGCAGGTGCAAGATGGGGGTGGAGCTCTAACATAAACAGGGATTAGGTTACAACAGGTCTCTTACTTCACTGTGGTCACAGGGGATGGGGCATGTGTGAAACCAAGCTGAGCTGAAGAGGGAGGGTTGGTGCAGACTACCAATTGGACCTGACCGGAGGCTGTCCAACTGGAACAGAGACAAGTCCTCTTTGTGCTTATAGCTCTAAGTAGGGATCTGGATTTTCTGTGCACTTCTGGAGCTGCAGGGGTTCTGGATGGGCCCCAGCTTGTCACTTCCTTCCCCAGCAGTACTTTTGATTTGCTTTTCCATATGTGAGAATTTATGTCTAGCACCAGACACTTCCTGGATTTGGAGGCCAGGGAGACTGCAGAATGGGTAGCAACGTTCATCTCTGATGTTTGCTAGCAAGCCTGGAGCACCTGCTATGCGCCCTGCCTAAGAGCTCTGGCAGCCTTTGGCTTTCTTCTGCAGTTGCTCAAATACAGGAAACCTGTGCTGCTGCATCCTGGCTGAGTATGGAAGCATCTGATTGGGTATATTGCCTCCCTGAAGCTCAATTGTTTGGCCATCCAGTATATTGGGTGACCCAAGAAGGCAGCTGGCAGATGCATCCCTAGTCCAGCCCTTTCCATAAGACTGACACATTCTCCTATTCTCTTTAGTAAATGACTGGAGGTGCAACTAAATGCAGTGGCTTCCCTGAATCTTGGGTGGACAGTGTGTTCTTGCACCTGGCACTTCTAGTTTAACTAGAGCCCTGCTAGCCTCAGGAAGAAGCCTAAAAGCCAGGGTGGAAGAGATCTGTGGAGCTCTTGGGACCAACTATTGCCTTTCACACTTATTCAGTTTTAGTGTGTGTATAAATATTGTATTGTATTGTATTATATAATACATAGCATTGTAGTATAACTTTTTATTACATGCACAGTGTAAAAATAATGTACTGTGTAATGCAGTATAATGATTGTATGGATTATATTTTATTACGTAGCTATCTATAATATTATGTATCTTAAAGTGTGTGTGCATCTTTTCCTCTTTACCCCCTTTCCTCTATTTTTATCTCCCCTTGTCCTTTAATGTATCTTTCAAATGCACAATACTCATCTTAACTTCCCCTATACTTAGTCATGTTAAGGGTGAGAAGGGAAGGTGCGAAGTAGAGGAGAGGAGGTAGGGTAATGGTAGAAGAGAGGAGTATGGACAGATGCTGCATATACGTTAAGTTGCCTCTTGAGAAAGGGAGCAAAAGCAGAAGGAAGGCAGGAAGGGAACTGGATTGCTTCAAACTTGAGAGAAATCTGAAAAACTATCAGCCCAGCTTGTTTTGTAATCTTAAACTCGCAAATAAAAATTAGAAGTTAGGTGAAATGCTCTACTTGCACAAAGTTAAAAGCCAGGGAAAAGGGGCAGCGGTAGAGCCTGGCTCCTAGCATCAGCCTGCTTTTGGTTCCAAGCTGGGTCATTCCAGCCCACTATTAGGAAAAACACTACCAACAGCTGAGCTAGAGCATGGGGTGGTAGCCCCCCATTTCTAGCTGCTAAGAAAAGGGAGAGTGGTGGGAAGTCTGTCTGAGGGTTACTTTCCTTCATGGCAGCTTGAGGCATCAAGGGATGATGGGCCTCACCACCTGCATCTGCTCTCTGCAGGTGGTAGCAGGGTAAAGCAGCATTTTCTCTGGCTCCCTTTCTTGCTGTTCCAAGTAACTTCTCAGCAACAAGCAAGAACTTCCCTTTTTATTATACTCCCCTTGCACCCTGTATTAACTGCCCCTTCCCTTGGGTCATACCTCTATTACTTGTCTCTACTTTGGATGCTGCAACTGCTGGGAGTGGGGAGGGAATAGACAAATTGTTCTGACTTGTGCTGGTTTTGCTGCTATGCACTGGGTTTTAGGAGAATGACAAGTAAGCTTCTCAAAACTCTGGTCACATTTCACCCTGCTGCAATTTGACACAGCTACACCCAGTCATGGAGGCACAGGAGCTTGCTGGCTGCAGACTCAGGCAGACAGAACTGCATCCACAGGAGGTTGCCTGTACTATCAGGATTTATTTTTTTTTTTAATGATAGCTAAGACTCCACAGAAGCTAAATCAGCTTGCTCTGACTAGAGATGAAAGCATGCATGCTCTTCTAGTGAGCTCCGCTCGAGGCAGTCTCTACTGACGGCGCATTCCTCGGACCAGATGTTTTTGTTTTCTTTTACGCTTTTAAAAAATGTAAATTTATTCTTCAAAAATGGTTTTGGGAGGGAGGCCCACAGTGAGTGACTAGATGAGAAACAAAAGGAGAAGCAGGCTCATTTGGTATGGGATACAATTGTCACCAAGGCACACTCATCTACCCAGTGAACTGGAGCCATCTGCCTTTCCCCCCTTTCCTCCCCACTACTACTACTCCCTCCTCCTCCTCCTCGCCCCCAGCTAGAGAGGAGGAAACCTCCTCTCCCCAGAAGTGACTGGGGATGGAAGGCAGGGGTTGCTGGCACTGATTTGGGAAAGCCTCGTTCTTTTACCTATGATCTTCCTCGTGTTTGTAGCTGATGGAAGGCGCCCTGCTGGAGAGAGGAGAACCATTTTGTTAAGAGACATTACAATTTGAAATAACTTCTGTCTGGAACTGCCTACAACACACTTCTGAGGAGTGACTGTAGCTCCTGTTGACACATCCAAGTTGGCTTTACATTATTTAACTCAAGTGCTGAGACCGCTATAATTGTGGCAGCACAGAGTAGATGGGGACGAGCAATTATATCGGGCGGAGGGCCGCTTGCTGAGTTTTTTGGCAAGCCATCAAGGGCCATATGACAGGCAGCCAGGAACAGATATATATTAATTTTCTACATTTTTAGGAGCCTCGCAAGCCAGATAGAATGGCCTGGCGGGCTGCATTTTGCCCACCCCTGGAGTAGATGCCCAGGTATTTCCCCAGGGGCTTGGGTGTGTGGTTCAGCCTGTGTAGGAAGGGATGTGTTCTTACCAGTAATCCAGCAAGTTTGTTTATCACTAGCTTATGTAGGTCCATCAAAACTTCAGCGAAGGCCTCTGCTTTGCAGTGTAGATATAGCATCAGTGTCTGAGTGGGATCTTTCCCAGCTATTTCTCTGTTTGGCGTAGAAGCCTCGCTACCATTCTGGTCGGTAGTATGCATATGTGTAAAGCCGATTCCTGCCTAGAAGAATGTATGAGCTCCACAGGCAAGGCAAAGGGAGGTATCGCTCTTACAGTTATGTAACTGAAGCTCGGAGCAATTGTGACTTTCCAAGATAGCACAGGAAATTGGTGACCTCACTGAGACCTGAACACAGTTTTTCAGTTAATGCTATGATGCACCAGACTGTCCTTTCTGTTCATTCTTTGTCCCTTTGTGTAGTTGGGGGAGGAGGGAAAGAGCCCCTATCTATGCAAATCTAACCCTTCTGTGATGTGGCTGTATATGCGCAATACTATTTCCTATGTTGACTTACCCCAAAAGGGCCTGAGACTAGGGTAGTTTTGAGCTCACTATGACCATACTGTGCTCCACTTCATAGAGCTTCTGGGGTGGGGGTGGGAGGGAGCAGGATTGCTGCTGTATTATGCCATAACCCTGTATTTGCCCCTGTGTTTCTTCTGGGGCTGATTCTCTCCCTGGTGCAGTTTAACAGTGTGATAACCTAAATACATTTGTGTTGCTCAGTGTATTCATCTGTGTTTTTAATGCTCTTCTTCCCTTCCTTCTCCCTGTTCCTCATACCCTACAGGCTCAGTACTATGGTGAGATTGGTATTGGGACCCCACCCCAGAAGTTTACTGTGGTCTTTGATACAGGATCTTCCAACCTTTGGGTGCCCTCTATCCACTGTCATCTCCTGGACATAGCCTGCTGTAAGTACCTCTTTCCCTATGGAGCTGCCTGGTCGTGTGGCTTCACACGGCCTTTCATTCTCTGTATTGCAACTTCTGGCACCAAGCTTCCCACTAAACCATCACAAGGGATTGCCTAGAAACCTTCCCTCCCCCCCAGCCTGCACAAGGTAATGTCAGTTTTAATCAAGCCTGTCTCGCTGACTTCCTGACCCATGGCAAAGCCAGCTTTAGAAATCAAGTGGCAGGTAACCCTCCTGAACGTGGAAAGTTTGGAAAATCAAAACCTTGTCTGCCAGTCCCCAGGACACCTCTTCCAGTTTAAAAAGCTGCAGCACAGCTGAGCTGGGCACCAGCTCTTGAACAAGATGGGGCATGTCTTTGCTACATTTTGGCACTGTGATTTGCAACGCATCATCCAGAGGCACCCACTGTAGCTTTCATCTAGTGAACTTGGTTACTGATGGCAGCAAAACTACAGCAGCCATTGAGTAATTATCTAGAGACCCACATGGCCTTCTGCAGCCTCCACAGATGCCCTAGCTGTTGCTGTTTCACTGCTTTCAGCCAGAGCTAGTGAGATTCAAGCTAGCCTGAGCTGGTCTGTGTGCTGAGCTCGTCTGCACATTGCAGCATATGTGACCACAGTCCGAGCTTGCCTGTCCTGCATACCTGTAGCCAGGAACTGGAGTCAGAATCCTCTCCTCTCCTTTTCTTCCTACCCTTTCCTTTTAATTTTGTCCTACTCCAAGGTGGGGGAGGGAAGTTGAACACTTTGCATTCTTCAGAATGCAAAGTGTCAGAAGAAGCCTTTTTCCTTTGTCCTTCTCTCTAACAGTATCCCCACTGCATCATTGCAACTCTCATTCTGCCTTTTTATCTGGAAAACAATGCCCTTCTTTCCTTTAAAGAAAGGGGAAAGAGATAACAAACCTGTTTTGATTGGATCTCAGCAGCCCACCCAAAATAGAGGTGTGGAACTGCAGGTGATGGGGAGTGGCATTGAAGAGTAATCACTCCACTAAACTCATGCAAGGGTTTTCATCCCTAGATCCCCACATACACAAGCTTCATAATACCTGACTGAAGTGAGGGAGTTGAGGGGAAATGAGGCATAGAGGTAAAGCAATTTGCCTGAGGTCATCCAACAAATCGGTGGCAGAGCCAAGACAAGAACCCACATCTCCCAAACCTCAGTCCAGGTGCTGTTAACTTGGAAGGCCTTTGCACCTCTCCTCTGTTCTTGTTTCTCTTTGTTATCACACCCCTGACCACAGTCATTCATTTTTCGCAGTGTTCTTGATAGGGTTAACAAGCCATTCCACATGTTGCATTGCCTCTTCCCAAATCAGAGACCTATTGTTCAACATGAGCACAAAAAAAACCGAGCAAGGCGTCATCTTGTCAGCTCTATTAAAAACATTTTGTTATTGTGAGGAGTATGTGCAACCATGTTTATGGATCTATAATGAATAATAACCATGTTATTAGACATTTTTTGTAGCTGACTAGCTCATGAATTGCAAGCTTTTTTGCCAGATGATGCTATGATATAATAAATCACCAAAGAAGATGGTGTCAAATCCAGCCACAGGAAAATGCCTTTTTAAAAGCCACTAGATGTGCTACTTAAGCAGAACAGGGAAATATGTGGAGCCAACAAATACGCAAACGTGAAAGGTGACCTAGAGTAGGTCTTCTGACGAGGGAAGGGAAATGAGACCTGAGACTTACTACTTTTGCAGTGCACAGAGATGGCCGGGTACTTAGTTCATTGTGGGGGTTTTTTGGAAGGACAAGGAGATTCCACGATTAGAAATTTGAGTCTGCATAGACTGGATGCTCCGACATCTAGAGAGCAAGGGCAATATTAAGTGAGAGCTGAGCAATAGAGGAAGGAATATGGGCCAGGAGCTCAAATCTCTGTGGTTCTGGTTTTCCATTTGTCTGGGAGTTCATTTTACATCTGTGCGGAGTGAGTGAAAAATGCTACCAAACCACAGCTCAGCCTACATACATAGAAGTGGCTGGACTTGAGGTGCAAGGGAAGGAGGTATGACTATCCTCTGTGGGCTTTTTAGCTTCCTTCTCTTTGGACAGGGCCCATTTAACTCCCCGAGTAGTAAGCATTCTGAGTAACGACATACTTGCAAAAGACTTGGTGCCTCTGCCCATTTTAATTAAGAAACAGTCTGTGTCCCTAAAGCCCTCCAGCAAAACCAAGAAGAATTCAAATCCCTGATCTTTCTAAAGTATAAAACAGAAACATGAGAGCGAACTCCTCTCACTTCTTACATTAAAGTCTCTCAGGGCATCTTCATAAAGAATCAAAAGAAAGGCTTGCAAACTGTTTTAAGAAAAAAAAATATTTTGGGTAATGTGTTAAGTGTTGTAATTGAATAAAAATATTGAAACTTTGTTCACATCTGAGTAGAGTTAAAGGCTCCCATGTACTTCACAATATATGTACTTCTTTTGAGGAACTTAGGATGACTTGAGCATCACCCTCTTGGTTTCTAATGTCCCCTGACACACCTGCCATGGCTAGTGCTACATCTTAATATGTAGCAGCCAAATCCTATTAAATGGACAAATTGGATCTTGTTATTTAATTCCCCATCTGGTAGACACATGTGCTTAAAGCAGTCCTGATTTAAGACATCCTGGGGAGTGGGGGCCTGTTAAGCTTAGCTGTACAACACCCTGAAGTGTCTTACAAATTAAAAATGTTGCTTGAAATGTAGGAAAAGCTGGGTGTGTGGGGGAAGGGACAAGTGAGGAACTTTCTGCAACATTTCCCCCTTCCCTTTTTTGACCCACTCCATTAACTAGTTTGTGTCTCTTCGCTGCTTGGAATGGACACAAAGCTGTGTGCAATCTCAGCAGTATTGACTTTGCCTGCTTACATTGTATCCTTGATTGCAGTGTTGCATCACAAGTACGATGCCTCCAAATCCTCCACCTACGTGAAGAATGGCACGGCTTTCGCCATCCATTATGGCACTGGGAGCCTGTCTGGATACCTCAGCCAGGATTTTGTGACGGTTAGTAATGACCACAGTCCACTTCTGCAAGCCATTTAAGGTCACCTTTGTCAGCAAAGCACATAGGAGCCTTTGACTTTCCATTAGGCTAGGGGCAGAGGTAGGAGTAGATCCTGTGTCCCTTGAGTCACATTCCAGTGCTACAGACACTTGGCAACACTGCCTCCCTTTGCACCCTAAAGGTACATACTTCTGTGCATTGTTGAAGCCAGATCTTGCTTGGTGCTCTCAGCTCAGCTCCCTCGGGGACACCTCTCTACATTATATTTGGTACCTTTTGGCCAACTAAGCACTACATGGGAAGGGAGGTTGGACTATCCTGACAGCACAAGAGGTCCTCCCATCATTCAAAGCCTGAAACACATCTTTCAGAAATTGGGAGTATGTGAACTGCCCTTGACCTGGAACCAGTCTGAGGGGGGGGGAACTGGATTTTTCAGAGTTAAGAGGGTAGATGCCCAGTAAATTGGGTTCCTTGGAAACATCTTGGGCTGGACACCCAGGAAATGAGATACTCAACAATCATTTGTTACATTTGAAAATGTGCTTTTAAAAGCTGGAGACACACATAGGTGATTAGAACCCAAGCCCTGTTGAAGATCAGTGGGGCATGTTCTCCTGAACTATTTGATCTCCAGTGCTGGGTTGGTGTTCCTAGATAGGCCCCCCTCTCAGCATATTTTTGATAGACATGTGGGTATGTGCTACCTGTCCCAGTGGAAAAGTGTTAGCCAGCACTCTCTCCAGCTCTGTGGAGCAGAAAAACTGCTTCAACCATACTTCCAGTCTGCTGGGAATAGATTTCGCCAAAGTTTGTGCATGAAAACCTGACTTGCAGTACAAGCATCCCCCCGGCATACGCTAGCACCTTTTAAGCGGCTGGTGACTGTTGGACTGACTCAAAGTGGATCTCGGGCTGCACCACATCTGACCACACCCCCCAGTGCAGTGCCGCAACATGTGCCCCATGACTGCTCATGTCACCATATCAGGACATGTGGTGTTTCCTGCTAAAGATCTGTCTCCAGTGTTTTTGAGAGCAACTGTACCACCGCATTTCTGACCTTCATGAGTATGAGCGGGAGCAGGGAGGTGGGGCTTGCTGCTTCCCACAGCCACCTTTAGGTTCCTGGCACTACATCAAAGAGCTCGAGAAGGTGGTCTATGCCAGTGATTCTCAGCCAGGGTGACCCAGCACTCCAGGGTGCTGTGAGATCCTTTTAAGGGTGTCGCTCAATATAAGCACTGTTAGGGGTACAAACACCTACACAGTATTCACAGGATTAAATCCAAAGATTGGAAGTAGGAATCCCTAGTGTCAAAAACATTGTGACCTGTTGTGGTTGTTCCAAGTTCTTTGTAACAGAAGAATAGCTCTAGTATTCAAAAAATGAGTAAAAATTAAGAGCTGTCACTTTCTACGGGGGGAAGGCCCTTGAATCTAATGTGGGGTCTAGACCCTAGTTGTTCAATTGGGATCTGGTGGCATTTAGTTTAAAAAAAAAAAAAAAAAAAAGCCCTCCAAGGCATTTACTGCTTTCGTTGAATTAAGTCATTTTGCAATTAGCAATGAATTCTGTTGGGTTAATAAATATGATCTGAGCGAGCAGACAGCTGCTTCCATCCCTTGCCATCAGTTGCTGCTAATGGCATCAGTTGCCAGCAGGGAGAGAGCAGCGATGTGTGTTGGGTTTAGATGAGGAGTGAAGGGAGGTGGTTTAGAAGGGGGCTTCTTTGGCAACAGAGTGGGAGCGGTGATCCAAAGCAGCTAGCTTTTTATTGAGCTGCAATTGTGCTGGCAGGTTTTGGTGCTTTCCGGTTTAATGGAGGGAGTGAAGTGAGTCGAAGTTTGTTTGTTTGTTTGTTTGTTTGTTTGTTTGTTTGTTTGTTTGTTTGTTTGTTTGTTTGTTTGTTTGTTTGTTTGTTTGTTTGTAAGTTATCATTGTAATGCCGCCGCCTTAATTTAGCTGTCTGCTTTCCAGTGACTCTGAGGAAGGATTCGGCACCTGAGCCACATCACAGCCAACACAGTTTTACCACACTTGGCTTCCACAGGGGCAGATGTGACAATACCTTTGGGCCTAATACTTCAAGAAGCTGAGTTCACAGCCCAAAGAAACTTTGAGTTCTCAGCACCTTATGGGTTCTAAGATCAAAGGCCCCACACCCAAGTAGCCTGATTTGTGTGCCTTGTGCACCCCAAACTCCCAGTGAAGCCTTGACTTAAAATACAGGCTTGGGTTAACTGAGGCCCTTGCTGGGGTGGAGACTGGCATAGCCACATCAAAGTCAGCAGGATTGTGCTCTGAGGGTATCTGGCAAGGAAACATAAATAGTAGCTGAGCAGGAATGGGAGCCTGTGTTCTTCCCTGCCCTGGTTTCACTCAACCCCTGCCCTCACCGTGAATTCTGGTGCTCCTGAATCTTGTATGTGCCACCCAGGAGATGTCTCAGAGCACCAGGCATCCATGGTGGAGATGAGTTTGGCTCACCAAACAGTGGATGTGCCCATACTAGGAGAATCTCTGCTCCCCTGAGTCCTCTCAAGGCAGAAATCTGCCAAGGTTGCACTGACTTAGTAGAAATTTGAGGATGGGTCTGCTTCTTGGCTGCAGTAGAGAAGGTGAAGGGATCTGGGAGCTGGGCAACTTGCCCTGGAGAGTGAAGTCCTTCCTTAGCCACACAGCAGGTATAGTAAGCTGGGTATGTGTCCCTCCAGCAGTCAGCCTCCTCCTGGTTGTCTCTGGATGGGAGAACTTAGGGCCAAATCCCTAACTGGAGTAAATGGCCATTGCTCAAGTGGAGTTGATGAAACTACTCAAACTTAATATTAGTGGAGGAACCAGTCTATAGTCTCCTGGCCCTTTTCTGTTCTTGGTCTTTCTGCTGACACTGCTAACAAGGGTGCCAATTTGTGCTGCATGATGCAGACACCTGTCTGTAAGGAGCTGGAGTGAGGCCACCGAGCAGCCAACAACTGGTAATGATTTTTCAGTCGCTTTGTACCTGGGCAGGTGCCAAGTGAGTAACTTGGAGGCAGAAGGTTTTGTAATTCATTGCTGGTGATCTGTTAACAATGCTTTCAGTTTTGGAGCTTGCAACCCTTCCTCCATCTGGTGAACCTGACACAGGGGAGGTGGTGTGAGACTGCTCAGAGGCAGTTACTCATGGGCATAACTGTTCAGTCAGGGATGTAACTAGGTAATTTTCTGGAATGCAGCTTTCAGAACTGAAAGAGAAAATTGTCTGGTGCCTCCAAACATGTTCCAGGTGATGTTCCAGCTGGTTCAGGCCAATAGGGGATTTAGCTCTTCAAATATTTAATTTCTGATAAAAAGAAATGAAGGGTCAGGTTGGTGTAGTAATCACTTCTGCAGATTGCACTGTATAACTGACTACTGAAGCATGTGACACAGGATGTATGTCTTGGGCCTTCTGCCCCACATCCTGTTCGTGGCTTTTAGTGCTTCATTTTAGATGACACTTGGTATTACTGTTCTTGTTGTACAGTTCATGTAAAAACTCCCTGTGCCACTACCATGCACTTCTTCACATGTGCACAACCACCCTTGCCCAAACAAGGGGGACCTAGTTAGCGGGGTTATTTTCTCACGTCAACTAAGGGAACTGAGCTCTTCGTTCTAGGGTGGGACTTCTCGCTGTGATGCTGCTGTTTGGAGACTGACTCATCCTGGGTGGACTGCTGAGGAACAACTGGGATGCTGAAAGCATCCCAGTCTCATTAGTAAAAGCACCTGTGATTTGCTTTTAAGACTTTAGGAACTGCTAAAAAGAACCCCAAAGCCATCTCCCCATTGGGTGAAAGCTGGCAGGGGTGCTCCCCTAGTTTGTGAGTTGGATACGAACACCATAGGAAAGCAAAAGATTTCAGCTTTCCTATTACAAATGTGTGCCAGCCGTGGTGCCTGGCACAAAATATCTGACCTTAAATTCACATCTGTCTGACTGGCAGTTTGCCATTCCTGTTACCCCAATGTAGTACTTCCATTCCAGCTTTTTTTGTAGCTACTTAGCTGAAGGGAAGCATCTTCTCAGCTGGGAATATTTGCTGTCTCTGGTCTCCAAAGGCTTTAAGTGGGTCCATAAGGACAAATGAGAAAGGTACCTTGCCCTCATGGCCTTGCAGCAGAAAGTGGACAAACATGCCACAGAGGCCAACAGTTGAGAAGGGAAGTTGCAGTGATGAGAAGTTGTAGACAAAGGGATGAGGGATTGGGAGTCTTGAAGGAGGAGAGGCTACTTGAGATGTAGGAGCAGCATGAGGTAAGCACTGAAGTTTGAGAGACAATAGAGTAAAAAGGTGTGATTGTAGGTGTGAACAAGACTGGAGGGCCTTGTGGCTAGAGATCAGGAGCTTGAATGAAATGCAGTAAATAACAAGAAGCCAGAGGAAGCCGGGAAGGGAGCAGTGAGGTGGTAAAGGCAAATAGGTAGTAACAAGGAGAATAAGAACAGGGCGGGCTGGCCTACTACAGGCTATAGGACTTGGGAACCAGCTGGTTAGTGGCAGGGTGGAGAGAGCAAGGACTGGGAGACAGCAAGGAGGGGTGAATTCTAGCCATGTAGCTGGACATGCAAAGAGCAGAGACGGAGAGGGGAATGAAGGTGGGAGGCTCTCCACTGGAGCAGGGATTGGGAAGGGGGCAGTGGGCTTCTCAAGCAGTGTCATAGAGGTGCTGGGTAACAATGAGCTGGGAAGTCTCATCCTGCACATGGAGGAGATGGAACAAGGGGTGCTACAGCAGAACATCTGACCCAAGAAAGGTAATGTGAGCATTTCTGGCTCGAGTTGCAAGGAACCAGTTATTTTTGCTCACTCTAGGCAGGAGGCACATCCTCAATGGCCTGTACTTGCATCATGGTCTCCTAGCTTGGGACTCCTCCATGGCTGCTGTCCTAATTATAGATATTATACCCCTGATGCAACCAGAAACAGGGGTGGGGATGAGGACTGACTTATTGACTTATGGTCTCCTTCTGTTTCTAGGAAAGCAGCTTCTCCTATCCCTGTCCAGAGACGCTCTTTTCAGCTGTGTATTTTTATCTTCCTTCTCTCAGCTTGGTGGTTTAAAAGTCAAGGACCAGATCTTTGGTGAAGCAGTCAAGCAGCCTGGCATAACGTTCATCGCTGCCAAGTTTGATGGCATCCTGGGCATGGCATTCCCAAAGATCTCAGTGCAAAAAGTCACACCCTTCTTTGACAATGTCATGAGCCAGCAGCTGATAGAGAAGAACATCTTTTCCTTCTACTTGAACAGGTGACTGGGGTTTGGGTAGTACAGAGTTTGCCTGCGAGGGCAAGAGGTTCTAGTTCTCTTCATGTACTGGAGGCCTCCTTTTTTTTATTGCCTCCCTCCAGCCGAATCCTAGCTTGATTCTAACTCTGAGCCACGTCCCCAGCAAGTGTAATTGGGTGCAGCTGTATGCAAGCTGGTGTTGCTGTGCGATTTGGCCCCCAAATCCTATTTCTGTCATATGGTCTGTCTCTGAACTTTACACTCTTTTTGAAGGAGGTGTGGGGAGGTTGCTTCCACTCTAGAGTCTCTCCCTAACTGTTTTTATCAGCAGGCTGATATTTAAGTTCTCTGGTCCTTGTCCCATCTGATATAAGCTGGTATGACTCCATCACTGGAGCTGTGCTACCTTACACCAGTTTATCACCTGGCCCTTTATTACATCTCTGCAGTGTTCCTGACATGGTACAAATTAATGCAAACCCTGCCAGGGGAGCTTTGAAGCAAATGGCCTGATTGTCACTGGACAGGAAAATTCTCCTCTCCCACTGGCTCACCCTGTATTCCTCTACTGCTTTGCCCTTCAATCAGAATGGAGGCTCTTTGTGTCCTTTATAGGTGTCAGTGACTACACAGAGCAATGAAGTATTGGGCTCTGGCTGGATAAGCCCAACCCAGTATTTGAAAATAGAGGGAACTGGTGGATTCCTCTTGGGTTTGTCCACACTGGCAATACACATGCAGTACTTGATGGATCTTGGTTCTAGGCCTTTCAAAAGGCTTGATCTTCCACTGCCTTATTTTGGCTTGTGGAATTCCACTGTTCTCAGACCAGCATGAGGAGACAGAGAATGGGGTTTTGATTTTGAAGAGGGGGTTGTGTGCTGGGCTATGAGCTGCTTGGTGGATAATGGTTGTGTGTAGGTTCCAAGTAGGCAAAGGGGCATGGAGAAGAGGGGGACAATGGCATAAGGAGGTGCTGATACTCTGAGCAAGTCTTCTGACTTGAGAGATTCAAATTCCTCTGGCTGAAAAGCATCCTATCTTTTTTTTTAATTCTTGCAGCTAAAAAGCCAGCTCACCTCCCCCAAGCCCTCTGTCACCATACTGCCTCACATCTGCTCAGTAGCCTTCTTGTCTTACAGTAACCTTGAATTCAGTTCTGTGGGCTGGTGGCTGTAACAGTGTCAGGCACTGATAACATCATAGTTAGCTGCATCTGTTCTCCTTCCTCTTTTTCCCCCTCACCCCAACCACCTAGAAATAGTCCCTCATTATTAGTGAAATGGAGGGTTTTAGCTCCGTGCTCTGTACAAGTGCTCGTCCTGCTCCTGCTACCGCACCCTATCTTCCTAACTTCCCCCTCACTCCAGTCACCCAGACAAAGAAGAAAACACCTGCAGCTACTGGTAAAACAAGTTAGTTAGCATTTGGGCTGTCACTGATCAGTGAGCTATCTTCCATTTGCCTTCTCCTGGCATGTAAGGAGTTTATTTGGATCTCAGCATTAAAGGTATGTAGCTGAGGCTAGATGAAATTGTGACAGAATACCTTGGCCCTTGGGCAGCCTCTAAAGTCTCCTTTAGAAATCCACACACCTTCTTCCCTAAGCCTTAACCTCTGGTGGACCTTTCATATTGGCATCCTGCTCTTTCATTACTATCCCCTGCACCCATCTGAAGTGCTCCCTGGCAGTTGTGGGGGAGGTGGTCAGAGGAGGTGTGTTCCCACCTCCACCCTTGAACTGAATAGACCTTCTGTCTTCTTTTTCAGGGACCCAACAGCTCAGCCTGGAGGGGAGCTGCTGCTGGGGGGCACTGACCCCAAGTATTACAGTGGTGACTTCAACTGGGTGAATGTCACTCGTTCAGCATACTGGCAAATCCACATGAACCAGTGAGTCCCTCCAGTTCTTGATTACTTACACAGACACACACACCCCCTAAGGCTGGAGCCTGTCCCAGAGGCTCACAACCCAGAGCAGAACTAGACTAGCCAAGAGAGGAAATGTGTCTAATCTCTAGCCCAGCCTTTGGCCTTCTACAACAGACTGTACTGTTATCTTAGTTTCAAGTAGGCGAAGTCCCACCAAATTGTGGGTCCTAACAGCCTCACTTGCCTCCCAAGTAGTTTGCCGTATGGATGGCTGATGCCCCTAGTGGGGATGAAGCATCAGAACTGCCTGCATGTGTGCAGGGACAGAACAAGGCCCAAAAAATTCAGTACTTGACTGACGGGCCCTCTTAGCATGGACGCACACTAGTAATCACTCGGCATTGTTCAGGGGAGAGCCAGAGAGAATGAACATGATTGAGTGGGCTGAGCTGTGAGCCAGGAAGCCCGGAGTCCTATTCTAAACTCTGCCATGTGGTGAGGATTTAATAGCAGCCTGTAATTACAGAGTGCCTTTTATCCAAGGATCTCCAGTACCTCCCTTCCTTGCTCCTCCCTGGGACACAGTTTAAGTGTAATTATCCCCAGGTTCTTTAATGTTTGCAAAGTGACTTGGAACCCTTGGCTAAGATTTTTCACATGAGCACAAAGGACTGGGGTATTTAATGTGAGCCTAGACCCAGCCAGCCCCCCATCATCTACCTAATGTACTTAGGTAGGTGATTGCTCTCCTCCCAAGATGGAAATGTTATTTAGTCCTTTAACCCTTTGCATCTCACGGTAATGCACATTATAACAAAATAATGTGTATTATTCCCCTGTAAACATGGAAATAAAATGCCTGCAGGGAAAATGCCAAAGAATGTGAGGCTTAATGCCTCACCATCCAGGGCTCCTGGCTCCCACTCGCTGAGATGACAGGCTCCAGCCTTCCATGCTTGCCCTAGGCTCTTTACCTGGAGAGCATGTAAAACAGCAAGAGTACAAAGCAAAAAG